TTGCCAGCATTCCCTTCCTCTTCCTCCTCCTCCTCCAGGGCCCCCACGAGGTTCCGCATGTCCCCCGAGGTGCCGCGCTGCAGGTACTGCGCAGCCTTGCGCCCGCTGTAATCGCGGATGTCCACGTCGGCGTCGTAGGCTCCCACCAGCAGCTTCACGACCTCGGCGTGGCCGTGCATGGCGGCGATGTGCAGCGCCGTGTGCCCGCCGCTCGTGCGGGCGTTGATGTCCACGGGCAGCCCGTGCCGCTGGGCGAAGTTGACCAGCGTGGCCAGCAGCTCCTGCCGCCCGTGCTTGGCGGCCCAGTGCAGCACGGTGAAGCCGGTGATAAAGTCCCGCTTGCAGAGCAGCGCCGGCTCGCAGCTCAGCAGCCCCTCCAGGCTCTCCCACCGCCCGTCCGAGGCCGATAGCATCCAGGCGTGCTCCAGGGGGTCCAGTGCCACGGAGCCGGTGGTGCTCCCCTCCTCCTCGGCGGAGGACGAGGCCACCGAGGCGCTGTCCGAGTCGCGGCCGCGGCCCCCGCCGGGGAGGGCGCCGCGCTTCAGCTGGGGGGAGCTGCCCCGCGCCGGCTCCCGCAGGCTCCGCCGGCCGCCGCCCTGCGCCGCCGCCCCGGGCGCTCCCTCCGCTGCTCCCGCCTCGTCCGTCGCCGGGGGCCGCCCCGGGCCCGTCGCTATCGCGGTCTCCTCGCCTCCGCCGCCGCCTTCGCCGCGCCCGGGCGGTGGCTCCCGCCGGGAGCCCCTCCGCTGGCTTCCAGCCGCCGCCGGGCTCGGCTGGGGCGGCTCGCCCCGCTGCCCCGGGGGCTGCGGGCGGCTGCCGGCATCCTCGCCTGTTGCCGGCGGCGTCTCCTCAGCGCCAGCCCGCGGGGAGGGCGGAGGGCTCAGCTGCTTCGCGCTGTTCTCCGCCGCCGGCTCCTGCTCCCCGGGGGTCGGAGGGGCGGCGGCGGGGGGCTCGGGGGCGCAGTACCGGCGGCGGAGGTGCACGTACTTGACGCCGGTGCCGGGCTCCTGGCGCACGGTGGCCACTGCGTTGACCAGCTCCTTGAAGCGATGCCGGACGGCGGCACGGCGGGAGGGCTCCGCGGGGTTCAGCCAGTCCCGGAAATGCTCCAGCAGCTCCGCGTTGCGCGCCCGCCCGCCCCGCGCCGCCAGGAACCGCACCACTGACTCCTGCTGCAGCTCCGCCGGCTCCGCCATCGCCGCCGCTACCCCATCGCGCTGCCGGCGCTCCTGCTGCTGCTACTGCCGCCGCTGGCGATGGTGGTGGCAGCGGCGGTGCGGGCGCGGTAGAGCCGCCGCTGCCCGAGCCCCTCCTCCCGGCGGCAGCGTGCCCGGCAATCACTGCCGCGGCGGCGGAGCCGCGCCGCCCTCCGGCCGGGAGGCGCCCGCCAGCAGCGCCCGCCCCGCGCTCCTCCCCGCCGCGTGGCTCTCCCCTTCGGCGGCAGTTTTGGTTGAGTCCTTCTCTCCCAGCTCTACTCCATCCTTGTGCGTCTCCCTGGTGGGGCTATGGCCGCTTCCGATGCCGACGGGCACCTGGTGAGTTCCCTCCGCGGTGCGGGGAGCAGCCCCCGTGCCGGGGGTGAGCCCGGCGCGGCTGAGGGGACGGAGGGGCCCGGCAGCGCCAGCGCCGGCAGGGGAAGGACGGTGGTGGTTGCACCGTGCCAAGAGGTGGAAGTGCCGCCTGTAGCTCGCTGCCCTCGCTGCGGGGCTCCGGGCGCTGCCCCTGGTCTGTGCTGAGGGCCGCGTCAGGGTGGGGTCGGGTTAGCGGGGGAGATGAAGGCTCCTTCCTCACGCCGTCTAGCTCCCAGAGCTGCCAGGCGTTTAGAATTTGTTACAGGAACTGGGTTTCAGATGTCACTGTTCCTAGCGCTCCCGTGGCGCATCGCGTATTTCAGGTAATAAGTTGAATCTCATCTGCTAAAGAATTACTTCTGTGTAATGGCAAAGCTGTCAGCTTTATGTTCTGAAGACATCGAACCCATCCACACGACGGTGCTGGAGCCTAGTTCCTATGCCTGTAGATAGTAGTGGAAAACTCGGGGCTCGGGAAGAGTCAGATTTGGGGTGCCCATGGGATGTTAATGGGATGCCCACCCTCGCGGCTGGGAGCACCGCATCCTTCCCAGGACCTCCGTGTATCCGCCTGGAGCTGGCGGGTCCCCCACTCCCTGCATAATCACACACTGGTTACGGTTTTCTTCGAGTTTTGGAGGGCAAATTTCAGTCACGTCTGTAAATCCAGTAGCAAGCTAGTTTCTTGCTTAGACTGCTAGTCTCGTTCTACCGATGTTTATGCAAAGTAATGGATGTAGTCTGACACAGCTTTTGCTTTGGTACCTCATGGCATTGTGCAGTTTTGGTCAAAATATGTGGTAAATTTAAAATATTACTATTTTTTCAAGTTTCTTTCTTAAAGAAATAATTTTTAAGTGTTACACCATCTCAGGCTATGTTTTTTTCATGCTGTTTTTAATGGGCAAGACAACTTTATATAAACCAAAATATTTGATTAAATAATAGAATCTTAGAATAGTTTGCGTTGGAAGGGATCTCAAAAAGATTGCTTCCAACCCTCTTGCTCTGGGCAGGGACAGTTTTCATTAGACCATGCTGCTTCAGAGCCCCATCCAATGTAATGAATCTGGAGAAATCCAGACACATTAGTTATGCCACCAGCTATTAAAAATGGGGTTGAGGGAAGAAATGAGCTGTGAGTTAGGTGAGATTTAGGTGATATCAATTAGGTGATCAATGAGCTGATACTTCTTTTAGAAGTGGTAAGAATGCAGATACCATATGGTCAGTTTTGTGGACTTTTTTTTTTGCTTATTTATTAGACAATAGCAGAGAGACAAATGCTCGATGTCCTTGGAAAATTTCAGAAGGAAAAATGTGGGCTACTGCTTTTCTATTATGAGAATGCTTCAATTGCTGTCAGGTGGAATAGGTTTAGACCATGATTCCTCTGTAAGGAAGGTAGGTGTTGTCCTGAAAGAGGGCTTGCTGCTTGGTAAGCAGCAGCAATTTACACACTGAGACAAGCTACCTCCATTTCTTTATTCTTTTTCTGCAAAGTGGGGTGCTAGATGGTAACCCACAAAATGCTAGCTGCCCAGTCATCAAAGCTACATTTATAGGTTTTGGCAAACAAGGAGATCAAGCATTATTGGCTACTAGTTGCATAATTTGCTTAATTAGTGTTCTACCTTCAGTTGGTTAGTGATACTCTCGATTGTCATGCTAATTAGTCCACATTCACAGTTTTTCTCTTCTTTTGAGTTGGTGGTCTGTGAGTTGGTGGTCACAATCTCCTCCTGCTAAAATTTCCTTGGAGCTGAGTCAGTTGATTTCAGCATAGTTGCTGATGTGGCTTTGTTAGTTTCTTCCTTATAATGGGTGTTCTGCCAAATGTCCTTGTGGCCTGTAAATTTTATTTTTTTTTGTGTCCACTATCATTAACACATCCTGCTCCCCAGGCTTTGTTAACCTCCTCCAGGTCTGAGATCATCGAGGCATGTCAAGCCCTAAGCCTTAACAAGGCAATTCTGCTGACAAAATAATTTATCTTTCTAACATCTGGACATCAGAAGGAAACAAATTTATTCCTGTGAGTTTTTTTTTTTGCTTGGAGAGTTAGAAATGGCAGTGCAGAGGTTGGGATTCAGGCTGGTGACATGAAGGTGAAAGGCCTCCCTTCTTCAGTTACTCTGAGCCACTTGCACTTTTGGTGTGGAGGCTGAATGGTTTGTGTTAGAGAGCTGTCTTGTCCTAGTGGCAGTAGAGGTGCTTTGAGTATCAGACTTAGTAGCTAGAGTTCTTAGAAGTGCTGCAGCCACTCTGCAGCCACTTGTCTTTAAATGGACAGGTCTCTGTGTTTCTCAGCACATTTTAATAGTAATTTTCTTCTGGTAGAATGCCTTGAGAAATTTTGTTTTCTGACATGCTTTGAATGTACATTTTTTAATAACTGAAATATGTAATATTTTCTCTTTAAATTGTTCACTTTGGATATGCATTTTCCCTCATATTAGTCTAAAATGGAATTATCTAATTAGAGGAATGTAAAATGAGTTGGTGCAGTTGGTGCAGTGCAGTCTGTAAGTCCATACAAGGAAGTCCTGTATGCAGATAAAGAAGAGGATGGGTATATGCCATGAGGAATATCCATCTCCTTTTAGCTACAAGAATTCTGAGACTTGCTATGCATACCTATTAGAAAAGGTGTCACTTTAATGGGCTTTTAAGTGTTAAATTAAAAAATTTCGTGCTGTTGACCATATACATGTTCACAGGAAACAATAATGGTTTCCAATTCCATGTGAATTGGAAATATAAAAGAAAGAATAGCATGGACCTGTCACCATTTCTACTTCTGTTATGTAATGTTTCTTTAAAAATACAGTTCATTTGTATGGATCAAGATATTTCCTTTTAGCCTCATGCATTTTAGTGTGCTCACTGCCTTGATGTCATGATTCTAGATTGCTAGCTGATGTTTGAAAAGGAATGTGCACCTTTAGATATTTCTAATGAAATAGATGTAATGCTATCTCAGAGTTCTAAAATAAAATGAGTGTAGATAATGTTTTAGTTGATATAAATAGCAATTTCAGTTCCAGCTCCTCAGAATGAGTTCTGTTCGGTAACGTACACCTTCCTCTGATTATGCATTCTATTTTGAATTCTGATGCTTAGATTTTTTTTTTTTTTAGTACTTTTGCCTATTTTCTAAGAGCAAACCAACTGTAGTCTATTTTCTCCCTACAATTTTCAGTTTACATTTTCAGTTGGACTTGTCTACTTTATTTCATTCATGTTTCATAAGGTTGTTTACTTTGTTTTTTTTTTTTTCTTAAATCATGGAATAAAGCTCATTTGACAGGTCTTTTTCCTTCGGATTTGGCTTTTCCTCATTGTGTGTGAAATCATAAGGAATGAATTGTAGCTTTCTAGTGGAATTTTTATTGCCTTGTTAACTGATATTTTGAAATTATTTTTCTGTAGCAAAATGTTGGCTGTCGAACTTTGTCCTTGTCTGCGCATGTTGGGTTTGATAGCTTACCTGACCAACTGATTAGGAAATCCATCAAGCATGGCTTCTGCTTCAACATTCTTTGCATTGGTGAGTATAGAATTTAAATCCAGTTGTGGTGTTAAACAGTTTCTTTAATGTTAAGCATGAACTGTAATTCCACCCCTTCTCCCAGATTTGTTTATTTGTGTTTGTATGTAGCATTTTCATAAACAATATGAAGACCAAAAATGTTGAAAATGTATGCCAGTCATTTATTTATTTATCAGCAGCCTTTTGGATTTTTTTGAGTAAATGGGGCTTACAGCTGTAACAAAGAGCTTCAGATGAAAACAATTCTAAAATTCTGAGGTGGTGTTACTGAAGTGTTTCTATACTTATCAAATGTTTTGCTCAATATTTTACCCTTATTCTTAAAAGATGTTTGTTGACTCTGGTTTCACAGCTAGCCACTTAACTTTTAAAAATCTGTAGGAAGTTAATTCAGACTTTTAAAGAAACCAAAGTGTCCAGATACTGTTCTGCTCATTACTCATTAGCTGATAATTTACCCTTATATCTAGGATGAAAAAAATAATGAAAATATATTTAGTGTTCACTAAAAGAATGCACAAATGTACAGTTTTACACAGAAAAATCAGTTGAGTTTTTGTGTACACTTTCTGTGATTATTATGTATTTATTTGATGTGAAAAGTGTCTTCTCCAACCCTTCTGTTTAACTTTAGGGGAAACTGGAATTGGGAAATCAGCCTTGGTGAGCAGTTTGTTTAACACTGATTTTGAGGACTCTCCATCAACACATTTTCTGTCAAGTGTGCGACTTAGAGCCCAGACTTTTGAACTCCAGGAAAGTAATATTCTTTTGAAGCTGACAGTTGTAAAAACAGTGGGATTTGGTGACCAGGTGAACAAAGCAGATACGTAAGTGCCCTCTTGTCACTATGTTATGCTGAAGTTTTGGTCTTAAGTGCAAGTTGATTTTTCTTTGGGCTTTGTAGTAAGTGGGTGTCTTACATGTATTCCAAATAGATGGTTAACTGTTTTCCCTGTGTGCCAAAGTAAACACATTGTTCTTCTCTTGTAAGAAATTATTTTATAATTCAGATGAACTCTGCTCCTTTCTTTATGAAATCTTTTCTTTCTTAATCTTTTATAAATGTGTGTACATGCAGTAGTTTCTTTTGGGGGTGGAGAAAAGCAGGGAGTTCAATGGGTGGGTTTTTAAACAGTTAAGCACATTATAAAGTACTGCAGATTATATTGATTGGATCTACAGATTTTTTAATAATTTGACTGTAACTTGTTGAAGACATTAAACTGGAAGTAACATCTTGTGGATAACTGAAGGCCTTTGTTTTTTGTGTTAGTCAGCCTAGTCAGAAGCTGTAGAGGCAGCACATTGGTGTCTTTCAGAACCTTTTCTGAGTCTCCGCTTTCATGAATTTTTTACAGGACTAAACTGTCTCAGCAGATTTTGTTTCTTTAATTTAATTGTAAAGAATTTATGCAATGTGAGTACCTAAATGGTGGTACTCATATAATAAAAGGTTAGAGAGTCACATTAAGATTATCATGACAGCTGTAGCTTATGATATGACTGGATAATAGCTGCTGCTGGTGAATTGGATGAAGGAGATGCAAGTGGATACTAGTATAGCTATTAGAGGTTTTGATGTGTGGTATGGGAGGTGCCTTTTTGTTCTTTTGATTTTGTGTGTAACACCTGCTTCTGGATTTTGATAGCATTTGATCTGGTTTGTAAACTCTGTGGAGCAGAAAAAATGTAAGGGTCCTCTGTAAGCACTGCTTCTACATCTAGCAAAACTTTCTTTTTGAAAACACATTAGAATTTGGTTTTAAGTAGGATAAAGTAACTTAAACTATACTTAGTATAAATTGGATTTTTATTCTCTAACATTTCTCATTTTAGTTTTTGTCTATTGTTTAAGAGCTCTCTCGTGTACAGTACTTCAGAAGATAAAGTTCATCCTGTTTCTTGGTACTGTTAGTCGCATATTCTTTCTTTTCTTGTATTGTACCTAAGAGATTGTTGTATCTTCTCTATATTTAAGAATTCTGCATTTGCACAACTTAATTGCAAAAATTTAAAAACATCACTTGGGAAGTTTGGTTATAATCATAATTAACTTTATGTAGTTTTTTTTTCACTAATGGTAGCTAGGAAATATTTTGTTTGTATTAGATGCACAATTCGTTTTTGAATTACTTTTCAGAAATTAGGATTAGTCTATACATGTAGTTTTCTGCACTACTTGAGCAGCCTTTTGACATGTAAAGCAAAAATCTGTAGAACAATACAAGAGAATTCCCTTCTTAGTCTGTCTCTGTTTAGGAGTAGCTAATATCTGGTTGTTAAATTTTATTTCCTACAGCTATCAGCCAATAGTGGATTATGTAGATGCACAATTTGAAGCCTATCTCGAGGAAGAACTGAAAGTTATACGTTCTTTATTTAGCTACCATGATACTCGCATCCATGTCTGCCTCTATTTCATTTCACCTACAGGCCGTTCTCTAAAAACCATTGATTTGTTAACTATGAGAAGCCTAGACAGTAAGGTAAGACTTGGAAACAGTTCCAAGAATTTGTCTTACTTTCTAAAGCATCTTGTAGCTTTTAGGTCCACTACCATCTTTCAGTTCTATATTGATGCATTTGGTTTTGTAATGTTTTTTGCTACTGATATACTTTAAGTTCAGAATAAATGGGCTCTGCAAGTACCTTGCAGTTCATCACTTGTTTATTTACAAATCAAAAAGAGAGAGACATATCAAGAACATTGAAAAAAGAAGCACAACAAAGTTAAAAAATACTAAAAAAAGTAGAACCACACCAACTTTACTTTTATTAAACCCTAAACATTGTACAGAGATTGGATAGGGTAACCTTCCATAAGTGCAGTACTATTTCTAATTAAGATTGTTTCTAGTTTTGGGACTGCTGGAAAGTTGGCATATAAAAAGCTCTGCAACACTGTGAAGATCTTCATTCAAGATAACTGAAGAGGCATGAAGAGCCATGAACAGAACACCCTGCCAATGTGGCTTTTACTGTGATAGGCTGCAGTAGTGTTTTAACATATTGATTTGTTTAGAAAGCTTTGCAATAACAGTTTCTAGTGAAATTACTTGCATTTCCTAAATCCTTAACTTTCTTCCTGTAATAGGGCTGTGTGAAGCTAAATGTTTAACCTATTTTAAGAAACCTTATGTTATTTGGATTTAATTTGTTGAAATGTTGAAAATTTTAAAAACTTAAATGCATTTGCTGTGCTTTTTGCCTTTTTCTTTGTGCTGTACTAGAGGCCCTCCTGCTAAATTTTCTTCCTGCATTTTCTTCTGAGAAAGAAGAAAAAAACAAACTTCTGAGAAGTTTTTCCAAGATAGCAAGGATCAAGTTGGCTGTCTAGTCCACATTTGTGGTTGATAAGCACATTTGGGATTTTTGTTAGTTTTTTTGTTTGATTCTGAATTTCTCAATAGCAGAGGAGGGAAGGTATGGTGGTACAAAGTAGGGGAGAGCACATTTCTGTATGCTATGTTGGTTTCTGGGTTGTGCCTGCTCTTTACTGAACTTCCTTTAAAACAGTGTTTCTTTCAAAAGAAAAGGATATAGACTTCAAATTCCAGCATCCTAAAAAAATGTTTCCATCAGGATAAAGCAAAAGTAATTCTGCTTTGGGGAATTTTGGCTTCTAGCCACCTACTGCAAAAATTTTTAATTCTGCTTTGGCACAGAGAGAGCATAAACCACATGTAACTCTGGTGTTTTATCCCTTTGCAATGGATTCTTTCTGATCTTACTACAGAAATATCCATGTACACAGAGAAAGAGGTATATGCTTTAACTGTAGTTTTGTTTCCATCTTGTTGTGGAGTATATTCGTAGTGCTTTTAGTACTGCATTCTTCTAGTGGCAGTTAAGAACTTGAAATTTCCCAGGATGTGAGAGTCCCTGGGTGTATTCGCTGAGTACAGGATTCCATAAAGAGATGATGATACAGCCACATGTATCCATCAAATGTGTAAATCAAAAGCTGTCTTGAGTTTCTTCCTAAACCCACTGCAGTGTACACTGTGTGCTCTTGTTACAGTCTGCTGCTACAAAACAATAGCAGATTATACATGCTCAGAGGTAGAGAGAGTTCTTGGAATAGATTAGGTTCATCCTGTACTCTTCAGGCCTTGAAAAAAAAAGCAGACTATCTATGGTCAATTTATTTTTCTTTATTATGAATTGGATGATTAGCTAAGATTTTGGACCTCTAGCATTTAGATACTGGAAAATCTTCTAGTTTTGCTTACAATGGCATCACTACAGACCAGCCAGGTTTCATTCACAAAGGGGATGTTTTCCTGTACTCTTTCTTGCTGGAAATAGTGATTATTCAACTAAGAGCTCTGCAGTTCTAATTCCTTCTCACAGAGTTGTATGCAGGTTATGGTTAAGTCAGTAAAATATCATGGAGATTTAGTTTGGGTTTTTTCCCTTCAGAAAGAATCTTCAGAAATTTTGATACTGATTCACAGAGGTACACTTAAATCAGCCTGCTCTAGCAACCAACAATGATTTCAATTACATGTATTTATTTTCCTACTTTGTTGCTTATTTAAAACCAGTGTTAATTTTATGCTTTTCATTTTTTATGCAATTGTGGTGATTTAATGTCAATGTTGATAGCTGTAATCTCAGTTTCTGATGATTTTGCGTTGTACTTTTCTCCTTGGTAGACTTTCTCTCCTATTTGTTTTCTGTTTTCTAAGAAATTTTCTCTTAATTAGCGAGTGCTTGAAAAATGTTCACATTGAAAAGACAACTTTCATGTTGAAGAAGAGTAGAGCTTAATTTAATTTTGAGGACTCTGTGTTCCATCCAGTTTTAGACCTATACTGGAGAAAACCTGCGTTGTTGTCCCTCAGCTAATTTGATTTGATTGTGAATTACTCCTAGTGCAACAGATCATTTATACAATTTTAATTAATTAAATTATTAGAAAAATATATTCCGTAATTTTATTTGATTTTAGATATTTTACCCCATATATGCTTAGATCATGTATGATGCAAAATTAAGGACTACTATCAGGTAATCCTGGAAGTCATACTTCAGAGCTGGCTTGCTTTTTATTTGGGACATACTGTTTAAGATGGAGGTCTTATTTGAAAAATAACCATTTTGAATCTGTTCTAGGCATTTCCATTCAGGCAGAATATTCAGAAGAATAGAAAGTGTATATGTTTTTTTTTGTTTTGTTGGTTTTTTTTTTCCTTTTCCTCTCCTTCCTTTTTGCATCTGTGATCAACTCTGTAAAACACTTCATCTTCTGAAATTTGTAAGAGTTATTTATGTTGTTCTTTCAAAATATTTGGGTATCCATTATTTCCATTTAGTTCCATTTGGGCATTCATTATTTCCATTTAGTTCTGAAAAATGTGTATGTTGGGAGCGGTGATAGTATTTGTAAGAAAAAATTGGCATCTATTGCTTCCAAGTTACTGCCATCACTATTTTAGGAAATAGGGCAGTTTAATGGAACTGCATTCTGTGTTCTGAATAATTAGTGTAAGGACTGGTAAGCAAGAAGCTTTAGCCTTTGTTACTTCTCTGCTCATGTCAGGTACTGGAGAAACTGTGCTGCAGTGGTGAGGTGAAGATGATGTAGCTGAAAGGAATCCAAGGAAGAGGCTTAGGGGTAGGCAGGGTTTGGTAGCCAGCTTCCTTTTCTTTCTGTATTTAGACTGCCAGCTTTCATTTAACACTTGAGCCATGTCCCCTGCTGCTATAAGCTAAACAACTGGTTTTTTTAACAGAGATATAAATACTTAATGGCATTTAGTTAATAAGTAGGCATTGCTTGCATTTGAGTACTTTGCTCTATGATACCTCCTTCCTTGTTCTTAGAATCAATTACTTTTAAGGGAGTATATTAAATTACTGGTTGCTAGTTAGTTAAATGATGTCCATGAGAATATTTTTCATTGCTTGTCAAAATTTGATATCAATTGATGGAAAGGTTTGGACTGTGGAGGAAGTTTTAAACAGCTAATTAAAAACCAATTCTATTTACAAAAAGTTGCCACCTCAAAATTGAAGTCGCACTCGTTTAATATAATTTATGTCATTCATAGGTGAACATTATACCAGTTATAGGCAAAGCGGACAGCATTTCTAAAGCTGAGCTACAAGAGTTCAAGAAGAAAATAATGAGTGAATTGGTAAGCAATGGCATCCGGATATACCAGTTTCCTACTGATGATGAAACAGTTTCTGAGATTAATACCATCACAAATGTAAGTAAATGACAAAAATATTGATATTTCAGTACTAAAACATCATTCTCTAATACTGATTAATGTCAATGCTACCACCATTGTCTTTAAGTTTGCAAGTTTGCATGTCACGAGTTTGTTTTTTCTTCTTAAAAAAGCTCTTATGTATTGGGTTTTTTTTCCCTACTTGCAAATCTTCTTGCTCCTCTGCTGTTCATACCTGTTGATACCAGAAAAGAGGTTCTCATGTATAAATGATTTTTCTAATACCTGGTTAATTAATACAAAATTACAATTATAGATGGTGAGATTGACTTTGCTCTTTTCCTCAACAGATACAATTTTACATCTGGTAGAGAAGATATTTAGGTGCCTCATGTCTCCAACTTTCTACAATAACAAGTCTTACACCTGCTTTTTTTCTTTTATTTAGTAATTTATTTTGAAATTAGGACAGATTTTCTCTGGGGATGAAGAAGTCAGATGTAACTCTGGCTTATTTCCCGTTGTCCTTTCCGACTGTCTCAGGTAGCTGCCAACTCTCAGCTAAGGCTGTGAAGCTAGATGGCTTTGCCTTGAGCACTCTGTATTTGCTGCTCTCTTGCATGTGTTTGTAGGTACGCATGACCATGTTTGTGTGTAGGGGGGTTTGAAAGTAGGGAACAGGAGCCAGGATGGCTGTGCATTCCCAACCTGTGTTACCTGGCCAGGGAGTGAGAATGTGCAGCTGTCCATCAGTAGCAGGTCCTTTTGCTGTGGGGAAATGTGGTGGTTTGTTACTTAACACCTCCATGCTCTGCTAGTGGTTTATTTTCCAGGTAATGGTGTTTCTCTATTTGGTCAGCTGTTGTGGGTCAGCACACAGGCATTCAGTGCCCAGCCTATCTTTGTGCCAAGCCCACAGCAGTAACCACAGCACAGGTTCCAACATGTGATTGTCATGTGTTACTGGGGTATGAGCTCTGACTGAATGTGAGTCATATGTTCTAGAGCAGTTTTCTGTTTGGGGCTGACATTTCCTAGTGCAGCTCAGGATGTAGTTGGCTGCCTTTGCCATTGGGACAGACCTGCTGACTCGGGAACAACCTGCTGTTCACCAAGTCATTGCCCCCATGTCTTATTCTGCAAAGTGCCCTTCCAGACAGTTGGCCCCCAGCATGTGCTGGGGCATGGGCTTATTTCTCCTGACATGCAGGACTTAGCATTGCTCTCATTTCTACTGCATGAGGTGCCTGTTGGCCCATTTCTCCTGCCTGTTGATGTTCCCCTGAGTTGTCAATACATGCATCTGGATCTATCAACTGCTCCTTCTGCTTCTATTGTACTATTGTACTTCGAGTTTTTTATCAGTAGATACTGCCTAGCTGCTGATCTCCTAGGGGTGATATCTGGTCTTAAACTACCTGTTGGCTTTTTCTAAAATTGTGTTTTCTTCCCTAGTTTATTTCTGAAGTGTTTTTATGTTTTTATATAAGAGTGCTGACAGATAAGACTTAATTGGTACCACTCCTACAGGGTTATTTGCCATTTGCTGTGGTAGGAAGTATGGAGAAGGTGAAAATTGGAGACAAAATGGTGAGAGCTCGTCAATATCCTTGGGGCATTGTAAAAGGTAAAAGAATTCTTAAAAGTGTTTTTAGAGATTTTTGCTGTTGTTGAAGTATAAAATTCACCAATAATAAAAGGGACTATTTCACTGATGCCAGGCTGATTATATTTTGGATCAACAGTATAAGGAATTTAGCAATTAATACTTGAGGCATGCACTAACTTGTAGTTTCAACCACACTGATGCATTCTTGGGATCAAGTTATGAGATGGTGTGTGTAGTATTTGAGCAGGTTAGGGTAGTGGCAGTACCTCTAGAACTACCAAATTTCAAACATTTGTGGTTGTCAATAAAGAGGGATAAAAGGGAGAGAAATGTGGTGGTGTTCAGCTCAATCAGGAAATCAGGACAGTTGAAACTTACAGGACTTCAGTGTGTATATTAGAAATTATAAGGAATAAACAATAAGATACCTTTTGCTAGAACTATATTTAGTGAACAAAGAAAGTGATGATGTTTAAAAATTATTTTGACTATTTTGCTACTTCTGCATAATAATCAAATCTTTTTACTGATTAGTGGAAAATGAGAACCACTGTGATACTATAAAGCTTCGCAGGATGCTTTGCACAAATATGGAAGACTTAAAGGAGAAGACTCGTGCATATTATGAGTCATACAGACGCTGCAGGCTGGAAAAGTTGGGTTGCAGAGACCTTGGCCCTGAGAACAAGCCAGTCAGGTAAAGGACTTGGTGTGCAGTGCTTGCTTTCAGCATCCATTCACTTCACATCATCCGAGTGCAGAGCAGCTTTGATACATAAAATAAGTTTTCTAAGAAGGGAAGAATATTTTTTTTAATTGAAGGATGTAGCTGTTCATTCAGTTACCTTAGTGGAGAAATATATAGGTTGAAATGAGCATTCTTTTTAAAAACATGAAAGCCAGTTGTATTTCTGAAATCTTTCTCTTATGTTATACACCTGAGGATTTTAATTTTTCTCAGGAAGAATGTCTATTTTTTTTTAGATACTTGTGCTTTATGAACTTCTAAATTATTTTCATTATATATTAGTATTATGTTTTGCTTTCTTTCTTAAGAATGTCTGATTATAAATAATACTTTGGTTGGACTCCAGGTTCAGAGGGAAACTGAAGCAAAAACTTTTACAAAATAAGTTGTTACACTGTTGACTTCCCACATTATCTGCCAAAATAACAAATGTCTTAGCATTTTCAGGTTAAGAAATCTCTCGCTGGACTGTCAGGAGTTAAAAGAGTATTCCAGATGAAAGTTAAGCTGAAGGTTATAGACACTCAGTTGTTTCATGTAGTGAAGCTGCTTTCTACAGGGAGGATTTAAAATGTTATATCTGTTTTGTTTAATCATTTATTTCCAGTTCTCTCATCTCCCTCTCTCATCTCCCTCTTCCAGCTTCCTTTGTTGGTTTTTTTTGTGTGTTTTTTTTTTTTTTTTTNTTTTTTTTAACGCATGGGACTGTACTTTTAACTGGTCAGAATCCTGCTGGGGAAGAGCTGATGCTTTGTGAGTTGTTCAAGCCTTCATGGTTTAGTGAAGCATCATTACTGCGTAGTCATGGTGGGAAATACTGACTTAAACCAGGCATGAAAACAGAATAAGACTTTGCATTAAAACCAGTTTCTCATTGTTTGGATTGAGACACATGTGCAGCTTAGTTCATTGAGGTGGTGTTGAGCTGACCTTGAATCAGTGGTCTCTTGACATTTCACTTAACAAGAATGTAATACATCCTTTTCATAAAAAGAGAACCAAAGGTCAAAGAGGTTTAAAACCAACTGAAGTTAACCATAGCATTTTCATTTGGTTTATGTTTAGGAATGTGTGTTAATAGCAGATGTCTTGTTATCCTTGTCTAGAGAAAAGTTTTTTTGAGAGATTAGTTCATGGCAATATTGACTTCGGTTCCTTCAGTGTTTCTGGAGCTTTGTTTCATGTTGTACAGCCATCTCAGGATAAGAGTTAAATTATAAAAACCATCATCCATAAAAGTGTTTCTTCTACAAAGGAATTATCTTTGTAAAACCCTTACACAGTTTTTGTTTTGTAAACAGCCTGAAGTGGCAAGTTCACATCAGAATGTCCCAGTATTTTACACTTCAGAGCTCATTTAGAAGTTGTCTGCAACTTCTGTATATCCAAGTTCCTTGGATATACAGAAGAGCCGAGTTCTCTCTGGTGTGTAGATTTTACATATGGCTCTCCAGATGTCAGTTTTATCGAGAGAGTTTTGGCAAGAAGGTACACTTAGTAATTAGTTTTGGTAAATCAGTTTTATTGAAAATGCCTTTTTTTTGGAAGGATAAGAATAGATATCCCATAATAATCTAGAAAAATGAACGTTTTCCCAGATTTACTGCAACAGGAAGAGAAAAGCAAGACTAGGATAGATGTGGTCCCGCAGTAATGTGGCATAGTGAATGATGCTGATGTCTGAGAGAGAAGGTATTTGGTGTTTTGAGAGACATTTTATGGTACTATAAGAAAGGAAGATAATATAGAGGATGTGTATGCAGTGTAATTAACAGATTAATGCAGCCTTACCCATAAGATGTTTTATCAAGTTCTGAGGAAACAATAAAAATTGTCATCCTCAGCAATGTGATAGAAAATGTCTTTTTACATAGAGGAAGTTCAGTACTTCCAAGTTTGCTTGTACATTAAAAAAAAATTAGATTAGGGACTATCCAGTTGTTTTGGGCAAAAATGTGATCTTAAATTGTCATTGTCTTTGTCCTTAAAGATGTTCGCAATATATTCATGCGGATTCTAAGAGCTGTGGTTTTAGACTATAATTAATATTGCATGGCAGTATTTGCCTGAAGATTAAAATTTCGTGCTAGTTGTATAAATAATGATCAAAATGCATGTTGAGAATTCATATTTTGTGCCTGTGATGTAGCTGTCTACATACTAAATTTGATAATAATGTAAATTTAGAAAACCTGTGCTAGACTTGAGTAATTTGGTGTTTGTAGCATTTGAGCACTGACACTTGAGTAGCAAAGTGCCTTGCCTTTTGGCATATTGGGAGAAGCTGCCTGTGAAGTTCTGCACTACCCTTTTGGATTTAGAAGTAGGACAGTAGTTTATTCATCCAAAATTGTATGCCACTGTAAGGCAAAACCAGTAATTCTTGGATGATTAGCTACCTTAGGTTGTGGGCAGACATCTGTAAAGCCTTTCACTCTTCCACGTGTGTAAAACACTTGCGCTTTTACATGTGTGTAAAAACCTGTTGGCAAGTTTTACTTTTTTTATGGGAGATGTGGAAAGAGATGGTTTCAGCATACGACAGAAAAATATATTTGCATCTTTATTACTAGGGCTGAGAAGGGAAAAGAAAGGTAGTCTGAAGTGACTGTCTTGTGCACACCTTTAAAAACACTTATTTCTGTATTTTTGGTGAAGCTATTTCATAATAACTTTTTGTTTGCAATTGCATTCTAAGAATTGCATTCTAGGAATGAAGAAATGAAGTAAATGGATAACAGAGTATTTAGAGTGTGGTTTATGCATTTTATGCAGTATTTGTTGGATATAAAAATCAGAAGTGAATTTTTTATAATTTTATAATTTTTTGCTGCTTAAAATTGGCATTTGCATTTCTTTATTGTTGGAAAGTAAATATAAGCTTTTGTGTGTGTCTGTGCAGATGGTCTGGTCCTGCCCTTTTGATGGTCCAATTATGTTCATTAGGAACATGAATTCCTAGTCTCAGGTCATTCTCAGCAAGAGATAATTGCTGAGATGTTTTGAGTGGTAAAATTTGGATTACTTGGAAACAGAAATCTAGACATGAAGAGTGCTTCCAGGAAAACAAACTTCTAAATATAAACACACACATACCTAGTTAGCCTAGGCATTTGTAAGGCAGGAGAGGATTGCTATTGTTTTGGAGTTGGACATTTTGTTAAGTCCATTTTTCAATTTAAGTTGTTGCCTATGGGCACATTTTTTGTTTTGAAAGAAGAAAACTGAAAGACCAATGCTGTTGAAAAAAGCTGAGGATTGATATTCAGGCCATATGCTTATGTGTTTAGATTTGCTGATGTTAATCATTCTCTGGGTTAGTTGTTTTTCTGTCATTGTTTTTAAAGTTTGTTCTCCATTATAATTGCAATTAAACACTGTTGTAGCATAAGCATCTTGGTTTCTCAGTATGTGGGGAATAATTCCTTGCTTTTTTCTTCCCCAGAACTGGGATATTCAGGCCTTGCAGTTCTTGAACTTGTTTATTTTTCAGTCTGTTTTGAAGATGATGACAGAAAACCAGGAAGGATTCAGTGACATGAAGAAGTTTATATGTAGAGGAAGGTTGTCGTGACTCTTGTCATGTCTAAGAAAAGAAACCTAGTATTTGAAAGGCTGTTAGACCTTTTCCTTAAGAAGTCCTTGGCAATGGAGTTCATCTGACCAACTGCAGACCTTTGCCTTTGAGCTAAATATTTTAACCATCTTAGAATGAGATTGGACTACACCCAAAATAGCTGGTTTTCTTGCCCCTACTGAAAAATTGCTCAATATCAACTGAGCTAGTTGTCTGAGTCAAAGCACAGTGCTAGAAATACCTGCCACTTAATTTTTTTTAGTTTTTCTTATATACCTTAATTACTAGCCAAATGTTCTGCAAAAATTTACAAGTGTTACTTTCAAATTTGTAAGCTTTTAAAAGTGTAATGGAATGAACTTTAAATACCTGTGTTGTTCAACGTGCACACTGTGTTCCACTGAGAGTGAAATTCACTTCAGAGTCTTTATTTATGAACATAATGTGTCTAATTTGCAATTTTAGGCTTCCATGCTTTCAGTCTCATGCAGACAGAAAAAACTGTCACAGCTGTGCTGTGGTAGTGAAAGGCAGGTGGTAATGCTGGTATGTATGATTAGTTTAGACTTTCTTCATAATCCCTTACTACAAAACCTCGGTAAGAATACATGATTTAAATAATTAGTTATGACATTTAAATTTTGTGTCTTTGTACAGAGTATTACATTCTGGATTTCTAAGCCAGAAAAATGAGAGTACCTGTGAACTTGATTTTCATAACATGCTAAAAGAAAGGCAGCAAAAACTAGTCTTCAGATAAAAAATATTTTACTATGAGCAGTGGATGAAGTAATGTTGAAAGGATTGGCTTAAGATGGGGTGAACTGTTTTTCCTTCCTCCCCAAATCTCATAACACTTAAGAGTGTTTGGGTTATTGTGTTGCTGATATGCCACATGCAGAAAAGGAAATTTTGCTTTAGTTCTGTCTTGGTGATTCCCAGAACAATTCATTCCAGGGGGAGGGGGTATTTCATGGAGTTATAGAATGGCTGGGATTGAAAGAGACCTCAAAGACCATCTAGTTCCAATGCACTTGCCATGGACAGGAGCATCTTCACCAGAGCAGATTGTTCAAAGCCCCATCCAGCCTGTCTTGAGCACTTCCACACTTCCACTTGAACATGTACTAGCATCCACAACCACTTGCAAAGTAAATGTAAAAAAATGCACTTTTATTTATCTTCTTCTTTTTATTTGTAATATGATTATTTACGGAGTTGAGTGTCTTCAGAGTTAATATTTTACTAATTTCAACACAAAATTGCTTTTACCTGATAAAGTAACCTAGTCTGGGTCTAAAGATGTCCACACAAAGAAATGAAGGTGTGATTGTAACATGTTAACTTAGTCTAGCATTTGCTCTATCAGTTTTATCATTCCCAAAGGCAGCACTTTATCTCTCAGAACTGACAGTGTGTGCAGAAGCGTGTATAGTGTGAGATTGCTAGCAGTGGGAAAACCTGTGCTGGCATGAAAAAATGTGCTAGCATTATTGTCTAAACTTAGAGATAGTGTGAATTAATACATCTCTGTGAAAACCATGCCCCTGTTTCTTGTGGGTTTAGGGATTTAGAATTTCAGGGTGACCTAAGTTATTTCACAGCTGATTAAAAGCCCTCAAAACAAGCACAAACACAAAAGGGGAATTGTTCAGAATTAGTTTTGTTGCCATGTAGTGCTTGAATAATACAGAATAGGAGGAGTGCTCTGACCTTGTTATCTTAAGAACATTGTCTGCATGTGCAATTTCAAGATGTTTCTTCTCTCTTTAGATGATATTTTGAATACAAATAAGAAACTTTAGGATTGAGAAGCTGCACGGTCACCATAAATTTAAAGATAGAGCTGTTTAAGCTTAGTGTTGCTCTAAATAATTTAACTCTTTAGGTTTCTTGATAAATTTTTTAAATTTATAATTGGTTTAAATAGAAACAGTAAAAGATACGACAAAAACATAAGTGTGTATGTATATTAAAAATATAAATCAAAATGAAATATTTAATATACTTAGCTATTTATTTTACATGAGAGTGGAAGGCATGAGTTACCTGGCAAAGGACAGTAATTCATGTTAGTTGGGAAAGGGTGACCAGTCAGCACTCAGCAAGTGCTAGAAGAGATGAAAAGTGTAAAGAACAGCCCCAGAAAAAAGGCTAGAATATTATCCACGGTTTTACCTGTTCTTAAGCCAAATGTCATAGAAGACAATGCTTTTGAGTTTCCAATAACCATTAAAACAGCTCTGGTCCTCCAGTGTTCTCTGAAATCATGTGACTTAAGTTTATGGTACATGTTTTGATGGAAGAACTTGCGTCATTAAGCAGGTTTTCTTTTCAAAAGAAGTTTGGTGTATGAGGTACATCCATGTACAAGCTCCATTTGTATTTCTTGAAAAGCACAACATTTCCCACCAGCACTGCCTGGCAGTGGTAGTATAGGCTCTGAAAATGTCAAACCTCTAATAGTTTATTCATATGAATAAATTACTAGCATCTTCAAATTTGCCATGATATGCTTTGACATGAAAGAAGTCTCTCAATTTCAAGTACCTGTTGTTTGGAGGCAAAAAAATTATCTTATGTACTGGAAACAGAGGGGAGGCATAGACTTAAAAGTAAAGAAATGTTTGATTTACCTGCTGAATTTTTTTTTTTTTTTTGCCAGAGATGTTTTCAATGATCTGATCTAATTTACTCCTCCTATATAGTTTCAAATATAAGTATAGTATATATGCAGTTTGTTTACTTCTGGAAGAGAGGGTTCAGGAAAAAACAAGCAGTCTTGAAGTTTTGGCTGTTGCATTTTGGAAAGTAACCCTGTGTTTTGGACGTTGAACTATTTAGGAAATTGAATTCATTCTATAGTAATATAATTCTGCTATATTTAAATTTTGACATTAAAAAAAGAGTGCTATATGTTTTGAGGATCCTATGATTTTCTTCCATTTTCATATAGGAACAATCCATTTTTTGTTACATTAGTGCTCTAGATTAATTATTTTTGTATGGTCCTACTTGAAGATTGAGGTTTCACAATGTGGAAATTTTGGGAGATTTTTCTGGCAATTTCAGTGTCCTAGTAGTAAGCAACTTAAAGAAGAAGCTTATGCATGTTGGAATCAGAAAGGTATAAATCGAGTCTTTAGAACATGAGATGCCTAAAGTGTTGTATTTACTTTGAAATGTAAATTGCTGAGGAGCTGTTAGCATAAGTAATTTTACTCAGGGTTGTTTATGTAAATAAAAAAATAGAAAGATAAGATGCTTGCTTCTGTTTAGGTTTCTTCTTGAATTTTTATGTTGGAAGCTCTAGAAATTAATATTTCAGATGAGAATTAATTGTTTAAATAATTTTCTAGATTGTTGGTTTTCCACACAGAATAAAGCAGCGTGCTGCAGAGTTGCTTACATTTTTGAACTTCAGTCTACAGGAAGTCATTGAGACAAAGAGGCTCGAGTTCTGCCTTGAAGTGGAAAGAAAAGAAGAGGAGATTAAGCAACGATTTGTGCAGAGAGTGAAGGAGAAAGCAGCAATGTTGGAAGAGGCAGAGCAACAGGCAAGCATGCCTGTTTGTCTTGAGTTTGTTTTCTGAGATTTGGAACAACTAAGTTCTTAACAAAATCACTGGTTGATATTTATCATTTCCTAATATTTCGAGGACAGTAATGCTTTAAATCAAAGGCAGTTTGATTACACAAGATGATTGGATTAGCAGATTAATTAGACACCAGCAAACGAGAATATGTCTTATGAGGAGCAGCTGAGGGAGCTGGGGTTGTTTAGACTGAAGTAAAGAAGACTCAGGGGAGAGAGACTTTATTGCTCTCCACAACTACCTGAAAGGACTATAGTGAGTTTGGGGTTTGTATTTTCTCCCAAGTGCAAAGTGACAACATGAGAGACAACATGAGAGGAAGTGGACTAAAAGTTGTGTCAATGGGAAGTTTAGACTGGATATTAGAAAAACATCTTCACTGAAAGGGTTGTTAAGTGTTGAAGAACAGGCTGCCCTGGAAAGTGGTGAGTCACCATGCCTGGAGCTATTTAAAATATGTGTAGATGTGGCACTTGGGGACATGGTTTAGTGGTGGACTTGACAGTGCTGGATTCATGCTTGGACTTGATGATCTTAAAGGTCTTCCCCAGCGTACATGATTCTGTGATTCTATAAATGGATCTTGTTTTGGGAAGGCAGGAGCTTATGGTCTAAAGGCTTTAGTGGGTGTCTGGTAAGCATCTGTAGAGTAGGAGTTGATACGGTGAAGTAAGAGACTGATGAATATAATGGTTGTGTTTCTTTGTCTTCTCTAGCAGTGTGCCGAGAAACATTGGTATGCCATAACAACACAGCAGGTGCTTTTTGTGCATAGACTGCTCTGTAAAAACCAAGATTTTAGGAAAAACTCTTTCCTGAGGCTTTTCAGAGTGGGCCATGTGGGTTTGCCCGACTTCCAGATTCAGCTATTAAATCTAAGCTTAGCCCTCATGCTGAGAGGTTTGAAAGTGTGTAAGTCTGATATTCTGTTGGTCTGTTTCAGTTTTGGTTTCAAAATCTCATCTATTTCCAGCTGCCTTAAGACTGTTTGAAAATATAGAATATATCTTGGCTCTGTTTTTGAAGATTTAGTCCTGTCAAGCTGGACTAGCAAGATAGGATCTCCTCATCTAGTTTCTGCCAGACTCTTATCATGGTCATGTGTATTTATATTCAAACACTGGTTTAATTGAAATTGGAAGCCTGTGTATTTTTATGAATGTACTTTTCTGTATATCAGTCCCCCAGCAAAGCTGTAGCAGGTTTTTTGAGGTGTTCAGGTGCATGTTTTAAATAAGAAGGCAGCTTAATATTTGTTTTCTGATTCTGTTAAGACCCCCATGCTACTTGTAGGAAAAAAAACCAGATTTAGTCCTTCTCAATATGAAGCTATCTAATTGGAAGAATGCTTAGCCATGTTCAAAGTAGGTTCAGCAAGATCTAACCTTTGATATTTTCCTTGTATGATTTATACCAAGTGGTTTGTTAACTCTGCATATTGCAGAATTATGGATATTACTTTTCCAAGTTCCTGATGTGGGAAAGTGATCATGTAATCACTCCTAAAGAGCATTTGTCATGTACTCTTACTGCTCTATTTGTATCTGGAAACTAAAGAAAACCAGGAATTTCTGTTGAACTTCAGATTTCTTTCACACCCTTCATTTAGAGGAGACTTGCAGGTGCACCTATAAAATTTGTCAGGTCTGCTGTGTACAGCAGGCGTACTATTACATTTATAGTCTTAGTTTCTTCATTGCAAGGGCAGGATTCTACGAGAATTTGTGTGTGGGGAAATGAGAGATGAGGAAGGATGAAGTATCTCTTTTGTTGTCACATACAACTTTACAGTAGGTTTAAACTGGTTAAAATAGATCTGGAAACTAAAATGCATTAATATGTCAAAAAAACCGAATCAAAGAGCTGAAAAGTAGGTAGCTTCTTGCAGCCCACCAGTAACTCCCCAACCAGACTAACTCTGTGTACTTATTAATACTTAAATCTGATCAATATACACTTCCCCACTATATTCTACTTGAGTCATCTTGATTTAATCTTCTGTTGATAATAGGTTCATCTCTAAAGGCCTCCTTTTTTGATACAATAAAGATACAGTAAAATGTAGTAGGGAATCTAGTATTCACTTAGTGCCTTCCATGTTTTCCACCTATACTTGGAGTGTAGTAGCCAGGATCATGAGAACAGTCTGATAAAAGTTTTTGTTTTTCTGTATTGCTGCTTTTTAATCTTAACAGTTTAGGGAAATAACTGCAGTTTCTAATGACCATTAACACAAGCTGACATGGGTTTTAGTGTTATTTTGCTGAGGGTTTTTGTATTGTAATATCACCACCTTGTGTTGCCAGTCGGAAATGTTATTTTTTGTGCTTTCTTTAAATAGGTACTGACTAAATTTGAACATCTTACGTTAATGCATCAAGAAGAAGAGCTGAAATTAGGGGAAGAGAAAAAACGTCTAGAAGATGAAATAGCTCAGTTTGTTGAAAAGAAGGCTATCACTGAATCGATTCAGTCACAAGTGTCTGTCTCTACCCCTGGTGTTAGTTTGAAGAAAAAAGGACTGCGAAAAGTAAGTGCTGGTACCAGTCATCAGAGGGCAATGAGAAAGTTCTTCACATTCACTTTTATAACTCAGATTTCAGTAATCTTTTAGAAAAGACAGATGCTCCTATTCTGTGATAAGAAGACAGAAGTGTATAAAATACCCTCATGCTTGGATTTACTTTTAGAGTAATTGCTATATGTTCTATGAGCATTGTTTTATCTTTCTTTTCTTTTTCCCATGAAAGAACCAGGATTTTCAACTTGAAGTCAAATGCTTTCATATCAGAGATGAAGGAACTATGAATGTTGGAGAGCAGAGCGAGAGGGAGAGTGAGAGTGAGAAGGAGGAGTTAGAGAGAGAAAGTCACCCAGGAAGTTTCAGGAATAGTATTTGATTGCAGCACTCAGGTTTTGAATGGTAGGGTATGTTAGTAGTTTTATGAAGTGTTCTAACTGCTGTTGGCCCATATTAGATGTGTCTTCCTAGTACAGGTTTTTGAGAGGAGAGATTGATAAAATTGGCTGTAAAAACATGAAATGCAGAATATGACCCAATAAAGATTTCACTTTCTCCCACCCACAAACTTCTTTCTTTCACTACTCTCAAAATAAAAACTTGAATAAATTGTGAAAACAGAGAAATACTTTCAGAAGTAGTGTCCAGAATAAAATGCTCAACTGGTTTATATTAAAAACATTGAATTAAATATTCATATATTAAATTAAATTGACTTAAATGTTTTTCTTCTCCAAAACCAGAACTCAATTAACTTACTAACTTTTTTCCTGATAATTTACAAAGTTACTGCAGATAACATTTTGTTAATTAATAACTTCCTGCAGTTGAAAACAGATTTCTTGGTTATGAATTTATTTATAACTGCTATATTCTGAAGAACTTTAGAAGCTACATTGGTGCACATATTTCTACAGGTATCATCAAGCTTTGACATTTTTGGGGTGTATGCTAGAAGCCTAATTTGGCCAAAGTTTATTGCATTTCAACTACTGTTATCAAATTCCATTTCCTAGATTCCTTTCTTTCTGGATTTGCACATGAAAGAGGAATTCTTGGTAACAGAAGTCATTATCTGCACTACTACAAGTAACTCCTCTGGTTTAGTTTTATTTCTTCAGAGTATGCTAAATTTATATGCTTGCTGTGGTTTTTCAGTTCCAGCTTTATGTAGTACTGGTGACAGAAAACATAATACTGGTAATTTCTCATGAGGAAGCAGTGATTCATGGTGTAATCTTGAAGGTATAAGAGTTCCAGTTTCTCTAATATCTCTTGTTGCTGCATTCTTCAAAAGAATAATTTTTAAGCATGGTCTGTATGCACACAGTGTGGTGGTTACTGTCATTGTCATCACAGGGTTTCTCTTACAGCTCTGCCTTGATACATATTTGCCTTACATAAGTGTGGTCAGTTTGCTTTAACTTTAAATGCATTGTGCCAAAGAAGGCGTCCCTGCCACAAACAGTTCTATTCAGACTATGAACAGTGTAGTACAAAAGTATTCTGTGAAAATATCCACTGCAAGCTTCCTGAAGAGTTCTTTTTGAATGGTATTGTTTATTAGTCCACTAAGTGTTATTTAATACAACTATTGACATATTTGAACCATTTACTGATTTTGCTGATTGATTTTTGCTTATAGGTTTTTATGTACAAGCAGTGTTCTAAATTTCAGATACAGTCTTTTTAATCAAAATTTACTGAGATATTTTTGCAATGCTGTACTGTTGCAGGATAGTTAATCTGATATTACTAACTCAGTGTGGAAAGTACCTATAGTTGATGGTTTTGAGTGTGGTATTTAGTTACAGTTGAAGATTTACAAAAACTCCAAGCTGGTTAAAACAAGTTCTAAATGCTTTGTATGTTTTCAGTAGTCATGATAACTAATGGGAAACTATAAGAGGTACAGTTCTCTGGAGTTGTATTGTTTGACTGTTTAAAAATTAAATACTAACTTGACAGAAATAAAATAGATTGGTTTTGCTTAAGTATTACTCTTGTTCTGCTTCTTGTCTCTCATGTGTTATTAAAAAGGAGTAAGATTTCACATTTAACTGAAAAATATAAAGGTTTTACATCTGTTTTAAATACCTTAAGTCATTTATGGATTGGAAAAAATAATTGATTTTTGTGAACTGTGCCAGAAGGGCAATGTGACTTGTGATACCCTTGTCATATAGCACTATACTTACCATATAGTCATGGAACATCTCAAGTTGGAAGACCATAAGGAGCTGGAAAAGACCCTTAAGGTTCATTGACTCCAGCTCCCTGCTCCTTGAAGGACTACCATAAGATCCAGACTGTGACTAAGAACATTGTCCAGAAACTCCTTGAACTCTGACGGACTTGGTGTCATGACCACTGCCCTGGGGAGCTGTTCCGTCACCAACCTCGCCTTCTATTTTACTCACACAGTGAGCATCCCATATAATTTTAGAGGGGTGGAATAGACCTTAAAGAAGCATCTAGTCCCAAGCCCCTGACATGGACAAAGACACGTACTATGGCTGCTCAGTGTTTCATCCAACCTGGCTTTGAACACTGCCAGGGATGGGACATCCACAGCCTCCCTGGTGGCAACCTCTTCCAGTCCTCACCACCCTCACAGGAAATAATTTCTTTCTAATATCTAACCTAAATTTCCTCTCTTTTAATGTGTACCCATTGCTCCTTGTCCTGTCACTACAGTTCCTGACAGAGTCCCTCTCTGGCTTCCCTGTAGGCCTCCTCCAAGTACTGGAAGGTTTGTTCCACACAACCTTCTCTTCTCTGGACTGAACAGCCCCAACTTTCTCAGCCTGTCTTTGTAGGGTAGGTGCTCCAGTCCCCTTATCAACTTTGTGGCCCTGCTCTGGACTTGTTCCAGCAGTTCCATGTTCCATCCAGAGCTGGATGCAGGACTCGAGGTAGGGTCTCACAAGAGCAGAGTAGAGGGGCAGAGTCCCCTCCCTTGCCCTGCTTGGGATGCAGCCCAGCATGTGGTTGGCTTTCTGAACTGCAATTGCACATTGCCTGCTCGTGTTGAGTTTTCCATGTACCATCACCCCCAAGTCTTCTGCAGGGCTGCTCTGAATCAATTCTCTGCCCAACCTGTACATAAAAGATTGTTTTCCTTCAGTAGCAGTGAGCTGGAATAGATAATGAGACATAAACCCTTCGTTGACCAGGAAAGAGTTAAACTGCTAATTCAGTCGTCTACAGACAGAACAGGCTGTTACAAAGGAGGAAAGGGTTAAGAGGAGACCCTCATTTAGCACAAATACTCAGGCAAGATATGACTTTGCTCAAGAGAAGAAAATGGGACAGGGCCAGGCTCTGTGATTGCCCCTTCCTGACCAAAATGCAGCTTGATGAAAGACTATTTTTTGTTTGACTTTGTACCGTTGACTGGGCTATTTGCATTTGTTGGATTAGAAAGCAGCTTTTCTTAAAGGAGGTAACAGCGAAAGGAAAAAGATATTTTTAAAGTGATTTGGAATGTTATGAAGTGATCTTGAACAGAATGTAGTAATAATTGAATGATGCATGTTGTCAGCACTCAGTTATCTCCCAGTGTCCTATCCCAGCTGCTGATGTTAGTTAGCTCAAGCACAGCTCTTGATGAGTGTTACAAAACTACAAAGACAGATTTAGCTGTCTATAGTCTGGCCACTTTGCTGAGGACAAAGACTGAGAATAGTTAAGTACTGTTTGACCTAGATAGCTCTGTCTGGCTAGTGCTAGAGGATGTGCTGTGCTTTGACAGCTGGGAACCATGAATAGGGACATGTGGTACCACATGTCTTGGTCAGATGGGTTTCTGTGCACTTGCACGTGCTGGCCCTGCAGGACTCAGCAGCAAAGCAAAACTGGTGCAGGCACCTGTGCAGGTCTTTGGAGCAGGTGACAATCAAAGATGGGTTGTTCAGTTGTAGCACAGAAACAACTTAGCACAAAGTAAGACAGCAGGTGAGTTTTCCTTTTTGTTTCCTTGTATTCATTTAAGCAGTGGAGAATCATCTGTAAGTGGGGAAGATTCCACTGTTTTGTTTAAGTTTGCTCAAAGATGAGATACCAGCTAAGAGCACAAGTGCACATCACAGCCTGACAGTCAAATGTAATTCAAAGAATTATAAAAGAGCAACTAACAATATTGTCTGGAAGTGGAGAATTAATAGTGGTGGTAAATAAAAACGTGTGTCTCCTTGTGGTTTTCAATTGGGCACTTCAGAGAGGTTTATCCTACATGTGTAATGGTTTCAGGACCACTTATTAAGGTCTCTTTATTGTTATGGTACCTTCTGCAAATGGCTGCTGCAAGATTACTTACACTCTGTACAAATCTGAAGGCTTTGTTTTGGTGTTTTTTTTAATCCTTTTGTTAAGGTTATTTTTTATATTTATTCACAACTGTATATTTGAAGTTACTTTGTCAGTAACAAGCGACAGCCAGTAAGGAATTTTATCTTAAATCTGGCTGACAGGTTGGATTCAAAATTTGGTTACATCAAACTGGCAGTCACCCCAAGGCTCACTTTTAGGGTCAGTACTCTTTAATGTTTTTATAAATGAACTGTACATAGGAGTTGAGTGCACATTGAGGAAGTTTACTGATGATACTAAATTTGGGAAGCTGTGGATTCCCTCTAGATAGAGAGGCCTTACAGAGACATCTGGATATGCTACAGAGCTGTGCAGTCCCCAGCTGCTGGAAATTAACAGGAGCAAATGCCAGAAATTCAGAGGAAGTTCAGACTGAATATTAGGAAAAGACTTTTCACTGGGAGCATGGTTGGAACAGGCTCCCCAGGACAGAGGTAACAGCACCAAGCCTGTCAGAGTTCAAGAAGCATCTGGAATATGCTCTTAAGTCATATGGTTTAATTTTAGGTAGTCCTGCAAGGAGCAGAGGGCTCAGTCCTTATGGATCCCTTCCAACTTGAGATATTCTGTGATTCTATGATTTTAACTTATGGAAACACAAGCCTCTTGTAACAGCAGCAACATAATATTTTTGTAGAAGGAAGAATACTCAAAAGAAAAATGAGTAATTTTTCAAGACCTTTGTGAAGACTTCTGCAATTCACATTCAGTGAATCACTGCAAAAATTGTTTTAGTGTAATTCATGGATGGGTAAAATACTCAGCTGGATTTTTATGAAGTACTGAGGCATCTACGTCTCCACATTTTCTTTAATAAATGTATTTTTAAAAATCCAGACCCCAGCATCAAGGCAGCAAAGTGTCCTGATAGTTAAATACAGAAACTTGCCGGATTTTAAAGCAGACAAAAAAAGCTTCAACAGGGTGTTCGCTAGGGTGCGCTCGGAGCCCACGGCTTCTCCTTTAGGGGAAAGGACCGTGACACCCTGAACAGCCCCGACTACTTAAACCTGGCTTTGTCGAGGTGTTGGTGTAGGTGGGCTCGACGCCCCTTCCAACATCAGCAATTACATAATTCTGTAGCACTTTTACAACAAGCACTGTTTTTTTTTTCTTCAAATATTATGAAAATACTTATTTTCTGTAGAAGCAAAGGTATAAGCACAGAAGGCAACATTAGAGTAAGTGCAGAGAGAGCTCTGAGCTGATTGA